TTTTTTTGTATTTTTTAGTAGAGACAGGGTTTCACCGGGTTAGCCAGGGTGGTCTCCATCTCCTGACCTCTTGATGCGCCCGTCTCGGCCTCCCATTTCTATATGAACTTTAGAATCAGTTTGTTAATTTCTATAAAAAGTCAGCTGGGATTTTGATTATGGAATTGCTTTGACTCTACAGATCAATACTTAACAGTATTGATTCTTCTAATATAATCCTTTGTTTTTAATTTTCACTTTTCGCTTTCAACTTAAAATTCCTCTTGGTCATCTAAAACTTAAGATGAGAAAGCACAGTTTTGGCAAGTGTGGGATATCACACCTCCCTAATGGTACAGAAAATATGCAGCCTAGCAGGATAGGTTTCTGAAACTCCCGACCCTGTGCAAGGTTACTTTTGCCTAATACAATGTTGCACATTGGGTATTTTTTAAAATATCGATTATTATCATAGTAACTCATATTCCAAGAAGCAAAGTACATTTTTAGCTTGATAATTTCTAATGACCTGTCCTAAAATTTCTAATTTTAGAAAGAATAAAAACCTTTTAAAAACTCCCATAAGTGGTTTAAAATTTTTAGGTGGGAAAGGCACAGATAGATTCAGGTTTTTATCCATTCTCATATTATAAAGATAAATTTTAAAAGCCCCGAACTGTTTTCAGAAGTGGAGGAGCAAGACGTGGGGCCTGACAAGGTTAAGGTGGTGATAGGTAGTAATCAAATCCCACGGAGCCTGAGTCTCTCCAGACCAGGGTCTGTCTTGTTTACAGTATTATCCCTCAGTACCTGGCACTTTTTTTAGTAGTTCAATACATATCTGTTAAAAGAATAAATCAGTTTTATTGCATAATTTTGACCTGGAAACTTTGGGCCACGATTTTTTTTTTTTTTTAAGAGATGGGGTCTCGCTTTATCACCCAGTCTGAAGTGCAGTGATGCGATCACAGCTCATTGGAGCCTCAAATTCCTGGGCCCAAGGAGTCCTCCTGCCTCAGCCTCCTGAGTAGCTGGGATTACAAGTGCAAACCACTGCACCTGGCTGGGCTCTAATTTATATTCTCATTCCAAACTGAATTCATTCCTTGACTAATACTTTATAATAATAGAAGAAAGTCCATATTCTTATGTCCTCCGACCGAGAGTTAATTTTCAAAATAATCAACAGGGAGTGAAAAAATATAATGTCACAGTTAAAGGTTTCAAAGATGTGTTTCAGAGATAGGAATGAGGAGGAGTGCTTGTCCTGCTCAGGAGTGAGTAGAGGGTGTGATACAGTCACTGAGTGAGCCAGAACCACACCCAGGCCAGAACTACTACCAAGGAATAGAAAGGGGCAATTTGGGATGCGTCAGCTTTCTCTGCATGTGTGGGTGTTTGCTCATAAGCAGAACTGCTAGTTTATAAACCCCAACGCCCTGTTACCTCCAGATCCCCTCTGTGCAAGCTAAAGTAGGGGCACATCAATATTCTTCATCGGGGCACATTAGTGTAGTGAGTCTTTTTGATGCATACTCTGTGTGTTTCCCTGTATTCTAATTATATTTTGACATTTACCCAACCACCTTTGATTGGAATTCTCATGGTAGACTTTCAGGCCATAGCACAACACTTGATTTTGGGGGCCGAAAGTACCTTAGCTGGGGAACTTTTGACTGAAAATTCACATAAAGTGAGGCCTGACTTCTAGGTAGCCTGGAACTGCGCTTCCTGAGCCAAGTCAACATTTCGTCACAGGCTATACCACACTTTAGTATTTCTCATTCAAAAGGGAAAAATGGAAGAGACTTTAAAATATTTCCCTGCTGGATATAGTAACTTTTTTTTTGAGATAGGGTCTTGTTCTGTCACCCAGGCTGGAGTGCCATGGTGCGATCACTGCTCACTGCAACCTTAACCTCCCAGGCCCAAGCAATCCTCCTGACTTAGCCACCTGAGTAGCTGGGGCCACAGGTGCATGCCACCATGCCTGGCTAATTTTTTTTTTTTTTTAATTTTTCTAGTGATGGGGTCTTGCTATGTTGCTCTGGCTGGTCTCAAACTCCAGGCCTCAAATGATTCTCCCACCTCCGCCTTGCAAAGTGCTGAGATTACAGGCATGAGCCACTGTGCTTGGCTGTAACCATTTTTAAATATAAATGCCTGATAAGGCAAGGTTGAAGTATCATTTAAATAATAATAGAATATAAGATATAATTATGATAAGAATAGAACCTAATGAACTCTTATTTAGTGATCAATGAGGAATATATTTAATTATCCTTTTACCTTACAGATTATCATGGTAAACTCTGTCTCTGACCTTCATGGCTACATCGACAAAAGCCAACTGACCCGGGAATTAGGGGGGACTTTGGAATATCGCCACGGACAGTGGGTAAATCACCGCACTGTGAGTACCAGCTTACACGTGCTTTTCACTGTCTCTCCTTCTTTTCCGGAGGGTGGAGTGGCAGAGTTAAACATTGACTGCTGGGAGGTCACCCTGTGACTGCCTGACCTTGGAGTGGTTGGGATTTCTCAGGCACAGGCTGGGGAAGAAGGAACGTGGAAGGGCGAAGGCTGGGGTTTCTCCTGTTGACCGCGTTACCCTATTGCATCTCTTGGTGTGGGGGTTTTGGGACACTTACCTTCGAATGTACCTGGGAAGTTTCCAGAAACACCAATAACCTGTTATACCTCAGAGAAACGAATTTACTTCCTCTGGGATGGGTCTTAGCATGCCACAGAACTCCCCAGATGATTCTAAGGTACAGACATATTGACACCCATGAAGTCAGAAGAAGCTACATTTAAATATTATCACCCCTCAGTGACTACTGTAGGTGAGAGGTGGGAGGGGGACAAGGATTGTAGAACTATCGGGTACGATGCTCACTATCTGGGTAACAGGATCAACTGTACCCCAAACCTCGGCATCATGCAGTATACCCATGTAACAAACCTGCACATGTACCCCGGATCTAAAGTCAAAGTCAAAGATGAAACCAGTTTTAAAAAATTGTCACGACAACATATAGTCTATGTCAGGTGAGTTTCTAAGCATTTCTGAGCTTTTTCTTCCTCTGTTAAAATGGGACTAACACAGTATTGCTCTACAGGGGATAATTTTGCCTGCTCCCTACATTTGTCAATATCTTTCGACTTTTTGTAGTCATAACTTAGTGGGGAAAGTTAACTGGTATCTAGTGGGTCGTCAGGGACTGTGCTGAACACCTTACAATGCTCAAGACAGCCTCCCACAACAAAGCATCATCTGGCCCAAAGTGTGAAGAGCCAATGCTGAGAAACCCCGGACTAACAAAAGCCTCCTGATAGTTTGATGTGGGGAATAAGTGATGTATTATCTGTGAAAGCACCTGCTATATAGTATTTTACTTTTCCCTACCTACTGATATTGGTGATTGTTATGCTAAGTTAGGAGTTTCAGTAATATTGAGATAAATGTGAGATCAAAATTCATTGTCATGACTTGAATATTGGTGTCCCCTAAAAATTCACATATCGGAACCCAATGTGATAGCATTAAGAGGAGGGGCCTTTTGGGACGTATTAAGTCATGAAGGCTGTGGCATCATAAATGGAGTTAGTGCCTTTGCAAAAGAGATTAAAGGGAGTTGTCATGCCCCCTCTGCCCTGTGAGGGCACAGAAGCCGTCTTTTATGAGAAACAGACCTCTACCAGACACCAAATCTGTTGGGGCCTTGATCTTGAACTTCCCAACTTCCAGAACTGTAACTGTGAGAAATCAATTTCTGTTGCTTATAAATTACCCATTTGTTTTTGTTATAGGCCATCCCTGGCCTAGTATGTAGCCATGGTTTGTGGTTGTGCATGTGCTAAACATTTTTTAGTGAACGTTAAAAAATACAACTAGTATTGAAAGACCAGAGATATTCTTTACATGCCTTTTACATGTTCTGTGTATATATTTTATATACACACATATACAGTCATGTCTCATTTTATTATGCTTCACATTAATGGGCTTCGCAGATTTGCAGTTTTTTAAAATTGAAGTTTCGTGGCAACTTTGTGTTGAACAACTCTATCAGCACCATTTTTCCAACAGTATGTGCTCACTTCCTGCCTCTCTGACAAATTTTGGCAATTCTTACAATATTTCAAAGTTTACTATTATTGTTATATTTGTTTCTTTTTCTTTTTCTTTTTTTGAGACAGAGTCTTGCTCTGTCACCCAGACTGGAGTACAATGGTGCGATCTCAGCTCACTGCAACCTCAGACTCCCGGGTTCAAGCAATTCTCCTGCTTCAGCCTCCTGAGTAACTGGGATTACAGGCATGTGCTACCATGCCCAGCTAATTTTTGTATTTTAAGTAGAGACAAGGTTTCACCATGTTGGCCAGGCTGGTCTCGAACTCCTGACCTCAAGTGATCTGCCCACCTCAGCCTCCCAAAGTTCTGGGATTACAGGCGTGAGCCACCATGCCCGGCCAATTGTTATATTTGTAACAGTGACTTGTGGTCAGCAATCTTTGGTGTTACTATTGTAATTGTTTTGGGGTGCTGAAAACTGCATTCATATAAGACAGTGAACTTAATGGTTATATGTTGTGTGTGTTCTGACTGCTCCACCAACTGGTCCTCAGCTGTCTTTCTCCCTCTCCTGGGTCTCCCTACTCTCTAAGACAGAACAATATTACAATTAGGCCAATTAATTACCTTACAATGACCTCTAAGTATTCAAGTGAAAGGAAGAATGGCGTGTCTCACTTTAAATCAAAAGCTTGTAATGATTAACCTTAATGAGGAAGGCATGTCAAAAGTTGAGATGGGCAGAAAGCTAGGCCTCTTAGCCTAGCCAGTTCGCCTAGTTGTGAATGCAAAGATAAAGTTCTTGAAGGAAACTAAAAATGCTACTCCAGCGAATACATGAATGATAAGAAAGCAAATAGCCTTCTTTGCTGATACAGAGAAAGTTTTAGTGGTCTGGGCCTGGATAGAGTATCAAACCACCCACAACATTTCTTTAAGCCAAAACCTAATCCGGAGCAAGGCCCTAACTCTCTTCAATTCTATTAAGGTTGAGAGAGGTGAAGAAGCTGCAGAAGAAAAGCCTGAAGCTAGCAGGGGTTGGTTTGTGAGGTTTGAGGGAGGAATTCTTCTCTGTAACATACAAGTGCAAGGTGCTGATAGAGAAGCTGCAGCAAGTTATCCAGAAGATCTAGCTAAGATCATTGATGAAAGTGGCTACACTCGGCTGGGCGCGGTGGCTCACGCCTGTAATCCCAGCACTTTGGGAGGCTGAGGCAGGCAGATCACCTGAGCTCAGGAATTCAAGACCAGCCTGGACAACATGGTGAAACCCTGTCTCTACTAAATGTATGAAAAATTAGCTGGGCGTGGTGGCGGTTGCCTGTAATCCCAGCTACTCAGGAGGCTGAGGCAGGAGAATCGCTTGAACCCAGCAGGCAGAGGTTGCAGTGAGCTGAGATCACGCCATTGCACTCTAGCCTGAGCAACAAGAGCAAAACTCCATCTCAAAAAACAAAACAAAACAAAAACAAAAAAAAAGAAAAAATGGCTACACTCAACAACAGATTTTCAATGTAAATGAAACAGCTTTCTATTGGAAGAAGATGCCATCTAAGACTTCCATAACTAGAGAAGAGAAGTGAATGCCTGGCTTCAAAGCTTAAAAGGACAGGCTGACTGTCTTGTTAGGGGCTAATGCAGCTGGTGACCTTAAATGGAAGCCAATGCTCATTTACCACTCCAAAAATCCTAGGGCCCTTAAGAATGATGCTAAATCTACTCTGCCTGTGCCCTAGAAATAGAACAACAGAGCCTGGATGGCAGCACTTCTGTTTACAGCATGGTTAACTGCATATTTTAAGCCACCTTTTGAGACCTACTGCTTAGACAAAAAGATCCTTTCAAAATATTACTGCTTTTTGGCGATGCACCTGGTCACCTGAGAGCTCTGATGGAGATGTACAAGGAGTTGAATGTTGTTTTCATGCCTGCTAACACAACATCGATTCTGCAGCTTGTGGATCAAAGAGCAATTTCAACTTTCAGTTTTACTATTTAAGAAATACATTTTGTGAAGCTATACCTGCCATGTGAAGCTATACCTGCCAGTGATTCCTCTGATTGGTGTGAGTAGAGCAAATTGCAAACCTTCTGGAAAGGATTCATCATTCTGAATGCCTTTAAGAACATTAGTGATTCATGGGAGGAAGTCAAACTATCAATATTAACAGGAGTTTGAGAGAAGCTGATTCCTACCCTCATGGATGACTTTGAGGGGTTCCAGACTTTAGTGGGGGAAGTAACTGCAGGTGTGGTGGAAATAGCAAGAGAACTAGAATTAGAAGTGGAGCCTGAAGATGTGACTGCATTACTGCAACCTCATGATAAAGCTTGAATGAATGAGGAGCTCTTTTTTACGGATGAGCAAAAAAAGTGATTTATTCATCTTTCTGGGGATGATGATGTGAACACTGTTGAAATGACAACAAAGGATTTAGAATATTCCATAAACTTAGTCTACAAAGCAGTGGCAGAGTTTGAGAGGGTTAACTCCAATTTTGAAAGAAGTTCTATTGTGGGTGAACTGCTATCAAACAGTATTGCATGCTACAGAGAAATCATGAAAGGAAGTCAATTCATGTGACAACTTCATTGTTGTCTTATTTTAAGAAATTGCCACTGCCATTCCAGCCTTCAGCAACCATCACCCTGATCAGTCAGCAGCCCTCCATATTGAGGCAAGACCCTCCAGTGGCAAAAAGATTGTGATTTGATGAAGGCCCAGAAGATTGTTAGCAATTTTTTAACAATAAAGTATTTTTAAATTCAGGTATGTGGAATTTCTGACATAATGCTATTGCACACTTAATAGACTACAGTATACTGTAAACATAATTTCCCTTTGCACTGGGGCACAAAAGAATTTTTGTGACTCACTTTATTGTAACATTGGCTTCATTGCAGTAGCCTAGAACCAAACCCACAATATCTCTGAGATTTGCCTGCATATATAACTAGGAATAATATAACCACACATGTACAGTACATACTGTTTTATAAGTGAGGTATATAGATTCTTTTGTGTGTGACAGTGCATTTTATGGGTGTCACCTCTTTGAACGAGAGACTCAGAAAGTTAGAACTCAAAGGAATCTTAAAGATCATGTGGCTCAATCACTTTATTTTATAGATAAATAAACTGACATTCAATGTAAAGAGGTGACTTATCGAAAGTCATTTGGTCAACTAGTAGCAGCACTGAGACTAAAACCAGCCTCTTTTTAATCTCCCTATCAGGATCAGGTCCTCTATACCATTTCCAAAGTCAGGTAATTCACTCATTTTGTCAACTAAATCTGTTGTCTTTCCATCAAGAGAGCATGTTGGTGAATGTTAAGCTCTCCACATTGTTACAATTATCTGACCTTCCAGGCCATCGAAAACTTTGCCTTGACCTTGAAGACCACTGCCCAGATGCTGCAGACATTTGGGGCCTGCCTGGCCACAACAGAGCTGCCCAGAAGCATGCTATCCACCGAAGACCTTCTCATGTCCCACACAAGGCAGCGGGACAAGCTGCAGGTGAGCGGTCAGTGGCCTCTCAGAGGCTAGCGTCTGTGCCAGCAGGTATACCTGCCTCTTGGAGAGAGCTGGGAGCAAAATTAACAGTTAAGCCCTCATTTTCCTTCTTCTTTAGTGACTTGGAAACCACTGATCATCTTAAACTTTCCAGACAGGCAGTTTGTAATGAAAGAAGTATCTTGAGACTGAGTGGTGAGTGAAGGATGGTGGGAAGCAGCACAGAGAAGGGCTTTTCCAGCTTTGTCTGGGTGAGCTGAGGCATGTGAGCACCCTTTCAAGGGTTGCACTCGTGTGATCCTGCTCAGGACAGAGCAAGACAGAACATGCTAAAATTGCAGGGGGTAGGGGCTGGCTTTTGAAATACAAGCTTTCCAGCAGTGGTTGTAAAGTTTTGGGGCAGACCAATAAGCTGACTTACTGCTTCACTTTCTCAGAAGTGTGTCTTTTTATTTGGGGATGAATTTGAGAAAAAGGACTATGGAAGGTGCCCTGACCTGGGTTGAAGGAGAGGCACCTATTAAATGATTCATAAAAGCACGTCAGAACCTGCTGAGGAAAGGGAGCTTGGCAGGTTCTTTTAGTCATGCAGTACAGGGAAATCTTCCTGGGGCTTCTCCCTGGATGAGTGTTGGCACCTTTCTACCTTGAGAAGCACAGACCAATCCCATTATTTCACAGAAGCCCAGTTTTCAATAGGGCAGCAAAATGAGGATTGGACGGTCAGTGTATGTGTCTTGGCCTCATGGAACTTGGGAAGAGTTGAACTGTTGTATCTGTGACCAAAAATTTGCAAAAACGCTTTACTAGATGGTTGATTTGTTCATTTATTCAACATTTATTGAGCACCCACCACTACTTGCCAGGAGAACCAAAAAGGCAACCTCAGCGAACACATAGTCTACTTAGGAGAGTCTCAGAGTCTAGTAATCGAGGCAAATTAATGTTTCCATGTGCCAGGGAACACTGTTAAATTCGGTCTTTAAGGAGGTTGTTATTCAAAAAGAGATGACCGGGAGTGGTGGCTCGCATCTGTAATCTCAGCACTTTGGGAGGCCAAGGTGGGTGGATCACCTGAGGTCAGGAGTTCGAGACCAGCCTGGCCAACATGGTGAAACCCCGTCTCTACTAAAAACATAAAAATTAGCCAGGCTTGATGGCGGGCGCCTGTAATCCCAGCTACTCAGGAGGCTGAGGTGAGCGAATTGCTTGAACCTGGGAGGCGGAGGTTGCAGTGAGCCGAGATCTTGCCACTGTACTCTGTCCTGGGCGACAGAGCGAGACTCCATCTCAAAACAACAACAACAATGAAAGAGAAAAATATATTCCAAAGATTACTGTGAATAATCAAAATATCTGGACTGGGCTGGGCCCAGTGGCTCACACCTGTAATCCCAGCACTTTGGGAGGCTGAGGTGGGCATATCACCTGAGCTTAGGAATTCGAGACCAGCCTGGACAACATGGTGAAACTAAAACTCTACTAAAAACACAAAAAGTAGCTGGGCTTGGTGGCAGGCGCCTATTATCCCAGCTACTCGGAAGGCTGAGGCAGGAGAATCGCTTGAACCCAGGAGGCAGAGGTTTCGGTGAGCCGAGGTCATGCCACTCCACTCCAGCCTGGGTGACAGAGTGAGACTGTCTCAAAAAACAAACAAACAAACAAAAAAACAAAACAAACCAAAATCTGGACTGAAATTGTAAAATCCTGATGACATCCTGAAAATTTTCCCTGAAAATGCCTCTGAGAAGCTTGGCCTTTGCTTTTCTAAACCTACTGGCTTAAGTTCCCATGATTCTTAGGAGGTGCGAGTTGCACAAAGCAGGGCCTAGGTGCCTCTGTGAAGTGTGCTAGGAAGGAGTTTGCAGTTGCACAGGCCCTAAGGTGATCCCTGACCAAAAGGAGTCTGCAGAGTGGTCCTGTTGATACAAAGGGGTGTCATGGGAAGGACGCCCAGCGCAGCAAGGACTGTGAAACTGAGCTCTGTGCCTAGGGCTCATGAGCACAGTGCGTTCTTTGCCTCAATCCCTGAAGGGTGTGGAGAGGTTGAAGAGCAGAATCACCAGGATGACAACGTGATCAGTCAGGAAGGTCTCTGGAGAAAAGGTTAAAACATTTGGATTTTAGATAAGGACACATTACTGGGGGGTGAAAACAAGCCAGTCAGGTCTTGCTGTATGTGCTGGTGGCAAGGCAGAGGGGTGGGGACGGGGAAGGCAGATGAGTGGGTGTTCTATATTTCTCTACACAGGCAAAGAGTTCTGCAGAGGTAAACAGGTGGGAAAGAACCAGTTTCCAGGATGGAGTAAGGGGATTTCCTTATGCATGCTAACCAGCTGTTCTCAGAATTAAAACAGGCAGCTCTGAGCAAAGGAGGCTAAGACTTCTCTCAGGTTATGGGGTGGAGTAACCTTGGAGGCCACATAGTTAGAAGTATTATTTGACATTTATACTCTATTATGTTAATTTGGTTAAACACCCCCTATCCAAGCTGTAAGACAAGTGAAAGGAAATTAGAAGTTTCCATTTAATTGGCCTTTTAGTAAAAGAAATGCTTGCATTTATATTCCATGCTACCCTAAAATCATGGTGAAGACCTAAAATTATTTTAAGACAAAATTCTGAAAGTGATTTAATTTGTCCAAGTGTTTACCTCGATTAAGAATATTAAGTGAATTTGGATTTAAAATATTATCATCTTTATTTTACCAAGTAATATTAATTAACATCCTTTAAAAGACAACACAGGCTGGGCACAGTGGCTCAAGCCTATAATCCCAGCACTTTGGGAGGCCAATTCGGGGTTGGATCACCTGAGGTCAGGAGTTCGAGACCAGCCTTGCTAACATGATGAACCCCTGTCTGTACTAAAAATACAAAAATTAGCCGGGCATGGTAGCTGGCGCCTGTAATCCCAGCTACTCGGGAGGGTAAGACAGGAGGATCACTTGAACTCGGGAGGCAGAGGTTGCGGTGAGCCAAAATCACTCCATTACACTCCAGCCTAGGCAACAAGAGTGAAACTCCGTCTCAAAAACAAAACAAAACAAAAAACCAAAAAACCAACCAAACAAAAAATACAGATAATTTCTTAAGGCCTTTTTGTGATTACTGATTATTGTCCCAATTCAAATTTGATTCCTTATCTTGTAGCTTAGAAGCATGAATACCAAAATCATTAAACTAGAGTTACATTTTTCCTCTTTCTTATCCAAAAGTGACTTAAAGAGAGAAATGGTTTATATTAGAAAAAAAGAGGTACTGGCTGGGCACAGTGGCTCACACTTGTAATACCAGCACTTTGGGAGGCCAAGGCGGGTGGATCACGTGAGGTCAAGAGTTTGAGACCAGCCTGACCAACATGGAGAAACCCCATCTCTACTAAAAATACAAAATTACCCGGGCATGGTGGTGCATGCCGTAATCCCAGCTACTCGGGAGGCTGAGGCAGGAGAATTGCTTGAACCTGGGAGGTGGCGGTTGCAGTGAGCCGAGATCACACCACTGCACTCCAGCCTGGGCAATGAGAGTGAAATTCCATCTCAAAAAAAAAAAAAAGAAAGAAAAGAAAAAAAGAGATACTGTTTAAACTTGTATTAATAACTTAGTAGTTTTTGTGGTTATTTATGCATATTTTATTTTACCCTTATTGGTCTTTTACCTACCTTTTAATCAAAGATTCTATATGTCATTAAATAATTTCTTTTCCAGCTAGAAGAGTGAAAAACTATTGTAAGATCCATTCTTCAGTACAGTGAACTTTTATAGCTATTTAAATAGCTATAAAAGTTGTAGCATGTGATTTACCGTTTTCTCCCAGCCTGGAGAGGGTTTTTTCCTAAACAGCTAGCACAGCTTTGGGGATTTGGCTTGATGTCTTGAATTCCTTTCTCCTGGATCTTTAAGAGAGATCTTAGGTATACGCATCTGGTCGCCTCTACAATCAAACAGAATAGGAGAGCTATTGAGTTGGAGAGGTTTTCAGTCTCACTTGCTATTTCTCTAGGGAGTTGTTACTATTTTGTTCAAAATAGTCTTCCAGTAGAACCTCTTTTCTTTTGGCCCTTTGGTATATTAAGCCAATCAGTTCACACAGAAAAAAATCTCAAAACATCCACAGTGGAACAATCGTATCAAACTTTTAAGCAAACTGATGACTTTACAAAAGGCTCTTCCCCAGAAACATAAATTCTTTCCCCCAGCCTGAGCCACAGTTTGGGCCTTAATCTATTCTTACAATCAGAGAGTGCTCCCGACTTCAGTAAGTGCTATTTTCTGTCCAAATTGTGGGCACCTTGGGCTTCATACTAAATTTGAAACCTTATTTTCTCTGTGATTTCTCTCTCATCTGAGGGACAGAAAGGAAGAGCAAGTCTTGTAAACACAAGCAGCTTTAGCCTTCCCTGGGAGAGCTGAGCTCCGGATGAATGAGACAAGCAAACAGGACTCAGCTACCCATGGTTTCTGCTGTGTGCCTTTCCACCCATCAAGGAGAGTCCAAGCAAGTGCTCAGAGCGCATGCACAACGGCACCTCCACCTCGTCTGCCAATTGGATCCTGTTCCAAGGTGGTGGTGGGGCTCCCATTTTCTGAGAAAAGGGAACTTTGGTAGGCAATGAGCTATCTCTCAGTTTACAAGCAGTCCTCACCCTGCCACCAGCAGGACCCTGTCAACACAGGGAAAAGGAGACTCTACAAAAGGGAGCATGAACTTAAACACATGTTCTGGAAGACAGTGCCCTGAGTTCCTCCTCCAGCCTGAGTGCAGGCAGTAAAAAAATTAAATACCCGAAAAGATTATTTTCTTTCCATGGAAACTGAAACTCCAGTTTTAGGCTGAGCAACTTCCCCTTACCCTTTCCAAGTACCATAGTTGCTCCATCTTTCCATCTGTGTTCATGACAGATTTTTGTAACCCTACTCAAGTTGACCATGTGGTTGAATCCCAAAGCAGTCACTAGGTCACAATTTTTGCTTGTATCCTTTTTAAACAGTGTAAAGGGGATATACAGCGTGTGACATCACTTGTGAAGATTCACCTTCCCTGTCTCACACACTTTCTTCATGCTCTGCCACACTTCGGGTGTATCCCTCTTCCCAGCTTCCCCCTCCAGTGTCTCCTTCTGCCACAACAATATGGCGCTTCTCCTTTAGCCTCTCTACCTTTCTTCCCAACTCTTCTTCATATATGGATGTGTGTGTGTGTGTGTGTGTGTGTGTGTGTGTGTTGCTGGAAGCTCAGCAGCAGTTAAGAAAATGAGTGGGAAAAGCCACGACCCTCTTTAGTGGGTGGGATGAGGGAATGGCTAAGACACTGACTCAGGAGTACATTTTTTCCATCATATCTAATTTGTCTTTATCCATCTGCAACCTGACTTCTTTTAGGCTGTTATTAATTTATCCAACCTACAAATATTTCATGAACATTGATGAGATAAGAAATGAGGGCTGACACATGAGAATGGAAAAGAAGAGATATGCCTGATTCCCAGGCAAGAGTGCCAACCACGTGGCTAATGTGGGGCACTATTTGGAGTGGGCAGAGCCAGAGGAGGTGTCCAAAGAACCCTGAAGGGCTAGCTCACAGAAGCCAAGTCCATCATCAGCCAGATCCAGGGCCAGGTTTGAGGATGGGTATGGCCATGTAACCCTTCCAGGGGAAATTCTGGAGTAGGATGGGACACAACAAAAGTATGAGCTTGAGAGGGTCCAGGACTTCTGTGTGATCAGAGTGGGGAAGTCTAAAACTCTTCCCACAGGGAATGAGCTCTAGGCTGTGTGAAGACCACAGAGGTAGCTGGGCCTAGAGGAAGTGAGTCAGTGTTTATGTGTGCAGAGGTGATCTCTTGGTTTGTTTTAGAACTATGGGCCTGTTCTAATGCTCAAGGGCATACCAAACCAGCCTCCTCTGACCCAGGAACCAAACCCATAATTCCCAAGCACAAAATTCTAGGTCAGGCTCTGCCACTTTTGTTTTGCAGCCCGAGCTTTCTTTATGGGTAAGGCTCAGAATGAGAGATGACCTGCACTGTCCAAGGAAAGGACTACAGCTGTTGGCTGAAGGAAGTAACCTTCCACAACTGCATAGCACTAAGTCTTTGTGTTAAAAAAGCAGAATGGGGGGTTGGCTTGGAAGTACGAATCTTTCCATGTTAAACTGAAATTGCTGCCCATATCTGCCAAACTTAAATAATTAAACAAGGCCACAGTTGGTTGGCAGGTGGAGGGAGAGGCAGGTGTTTATTGATGAGACCAACTGAAGTATTTTTATGATCAACTAGCAGTTATTACATTATTATTGCTCAGTAGTTTCTAGCATTCAACATTCAATATCTATCATTTTCTTGTTTCTGGTCACTGTCTTGGATTAAAACTAGGTTGTATTAACTAGTTTTGCCTTTAATTTACAATAGTAGCTTGAGATATACAAAAAGCAGATGTTGATTTTGAAGAGGAAAAACATACTTTTTTTGGTGTATACCGTTTCAGATATTTTGAATTTTGTATCATGTCGGTGCGTTACCTATCAAGGATAAGTTAATTGATTAATTTTAAAGCTGCATCTTGACTTAATCAGCATTTAATTTCCTAAATGAAAAATGTACTGATCTACCTCTTCACCCCAATTCTACCAAGAATTTGTTTTTTTCTAATTCCTTCTAAGAGAGACTACTTTTATTTTCTAGGATGAGCTGAAATTACTTGGAAAGCAGGGGGCCACATTGCTGTCATGCATCCAAGAACCAGCCACCAAATGTCTCAACAGCACACTCAATCTCAATCAACTTGAGAATGTAACTACCATGGAAAGGTGAGTGAGTGAGGTGGAATCTGCCTTTTCAGGAGAGAATATATAGACCTATATGTTCTGGAGCAACGAAGAACAGATTGGAACAGCCAATATTGGGTCTTGGTGGGGCCAAAGAAGAAGAAGAATATTTGAGACAACAAAGGAAAAAAGATCACATCCATCTGGCATCCACATACGGAGATCTTTTTATGAGCATTCCATTCCCCGCTCTTCAATGTCTATGACATACTCCCACCCTAGGATTTTGAGGGAGAGGGTAGTATTTATTGGGCTTCATTTCCAAATAACAGTTTGGCTTGGAGCTGTGCTTTATATTCGTGTGTCACAGGTAGAAAGAAAGAAGGCATGAAGGTAAGATCAGCTGGAGCACATTCTAAAGCACAGCAGCTGCATCTGAAGTGAAGTTGCTGCCTGCACTGTGGGTGTCCTGATTGGAAAATGAAAGGTGCAAAGCCCGCTGAGCCAGAAGAAAGGCATAGGTGACACATGCTTTCATAATAAGGAGATGGTCGCAATTGATACCACTGACCGAAGACACAGGTGTTCTATCCATAGGCCTATATGGATGCCTGTGGAAATGAATGCTAACCTAACACCACTTTCTCATTCTTTCTTGAAAGGTTATTAATTCAACTGGATGAAACAGAAAAAGCCTTTAGTCAGTTTTGGTCCAGTCATCATTTGAAGCTTAACCAGTGCCTACAACTGCAGCATTTTGAGCACGATTTTTGTAAGGTATTCTTTTCTTGTTTAATATAACTTTCTTTTCTGCTACTGTGACCTCTGGTTTTCTCTCCCTCCTCACTCTTTGGTATGGGGTTTCCCTCTTTTCCCTAATCCAGCTTTCTGCTTATTTCCTTGCTTCTTTACAGACCACCCCCTCCAACCCCCTTCTCACTTTTTCAGTGGAGTAAAGGTGTTCTAGAATCCATTTTCCTGTTGCGGTACATGGCATTTCAGCGATGGTTTATCTTGCTTTTTTTTTTTTTTTTTTTTTGAAACAGGGTCTTATTCTGTCACTCCGGCCGGAGTGCAGTGGTGCGACCATGGCTCACTGCAGCTTTGATCTTCTGGGCTCAAGCTGTCCTCCCACCTCAGCCTCCCAAGTAGCTGGAACTACAGACAATGCCCCACCATCACACTAGATAATTTTTTTTTTTTTTTTTGAGACGGAGTCTCACTGTGTTACCCAGGCTGGTGTGCAGTGGCGCAATCTCAGCTCACTGTAACCTCCGCCTCCCTGGTTCAAGCGATTCTCCTGCCTTAGCCTCCCGAATAGCTGGGACTACAGGTGCCCGCCACCACACTCAGCTAATTTTTGTATTTTTAGAAGGGATGGGGTTTCACTGTGTTAGCCATGATGGTCTTGATCTCCTGACCTCTGTGATCTGCCCACCTTGGCCTCCCGAAGTGCTGGGATCATAGGCGTGAGCCACCACGCCCAGCCCAGATAATTTTTTAATATTTTTGCAGAGACGAGGTCTCCCTATGTTGCCCAGGCTGGCCTCAAACTTCTAAGCACAAACAATCCTCCTGCCTCAGCCTCCCAAAGTGCTGGGATTATAGGCATGAGCCACTGGACCCAGCTATCTTCCTTTTTGATTGATAATTGGTTGAATATAGTTCTAATAGTTCAACTACAGGTGAATTCTGCACCCCCAGCTTAATTTGAAAGTTAGTGAGCTGCAAAAAAAATTTTTTTTTAACATATATAGATATATACAAGTCTTGAATCCTCTTTGGAATTTTGAGTTTTCTTGAAGCATAACAAACCAATACCTTCAGGTGAGTGAGTGTTGGTTTACTTCTGGACTGTTCTAATGTTTCTTGTAGGCTAAGCTTACCCTGGATAATTTGCTGGAAGAACAAGCAGAGTTTACAGGCATTGGAGACAGCGTGATGCATGTGGAGCAGCTTCTTAAGGAACACAAAAAACTGGAGGAAAAAAGCCAGGTTTGCTTTCTGACATTTTTGTGTACTGGGAAGGAGGTTGCTGTGGACGGTGATGGATCACGTCCAGTCATTGCTATTGGAAGGTTGCTAAAGGACACAGGAATGCCCAGTCCTGCCATTCAGTCACCCCAGGATCCCAAGGAGAGTTGCACATTAACAAGTGCTATGAATAATACAGGCAGCACAGAGTCCTATTAAAGCCGCCGAACATACAGTTGCGGTTGGACGCTCAGGTGGGGTGAAGACTCCGGACCAGCCCTGCCCTCTTACGTGGTCAGCAACCAAGTGGGAGAAGGTCACAGCAGGTTCATCACTCACCAGAACAATTATCTCAGAGTCTCACCAATCAGCTTGAGCTCCTCCCTGGAGCCTGGACTAGGGGACTGGGGGTTGTGGGGTTGGTAGTAGACGGGAAACTTTCAAAGGGGAAACCAGGAAAAAAAACAACAACTAGTTTTATACCTGGAGCAAGACAGTTAGACGGGGGAAACTGGTCCACATTAGTTCCATTGCTACACAGAATTGGCAAAGCTTTCTCCTTTCTCATGTCCCAGGAGTTGTAAATATGAAACTTGTAAAAGAATATGTATTTTACAGTCCCATACTGGAATTAAACAGTGTCCCAGATCTGCACAGAAGTCAGCATTTAGAAGTGATTACATTTTAAGTGTTTACAAATTTGTTTTATTACAAATGAAGAAAGCGGAGTCATCTCTTTCCATAGAAGTTCCTTTCTGCTTGTTTAAAATTAGGTTCTTTATATTTTTGGGTCTTGGGAACCAAGTGCCCTATGGTTAGCGCTTCCTTTCTTAGCTAATCTGGAGGCATGTTTCTCAGATGGCAATTTTGCAGTACTAGAGATGTGCCAAAGTGTGAGCCTCTGGCCAGCAGCACAGATGTCACCTGAGTAAGTGCTAATTAGAAATATAAAATCTCAGACCCCACCCTGGAATTGGAATCTGCATTTTAAGAAGATCCCCAGGTGATTGACTTGTACATTACAGTTGGAGACACACACCCCTAAAGGATACGAAACAAAGTATACTAAGGCCACACTGACTCTGAGAGCTGTCGGTTATAGATTCTGAGCTGCAGGTGCTTGTGCACATGCATGAACACACAAACCCACCTGTGTATCCAGATCCCCATTCAGGAATCCCGTCCTTCCCTAGCGAGTGCTCTTTCTCTTACCAGTGACCATTTGTCAGATAGACTAGTGCCGAAGACACACGAGTCATCAGGAACATTTCTCAAACAACGGAAAAGGTGAATTTCATATCTATGATGACTATATGTCTTAGATTCTTCAAGACAGCCCCAATCTTATAACATTTTAGTTTTTTCAAAAGAATTTTTTACTAAATATAGGTACTATATTTTTTGCTTATTCATATATTAAGAAAAAGTGCCTCATCAATAAAATGCCTTCATATATATATGAAAGTGGCTACTGACCTACCCGGAGGGTTATTTATTCATCAACAGGTATTCCTTATCCTGGGTTCCATGGATGCAGCGGTGAGCCAGACAGTCCAGATTCTGCCCTCATGGAGCTTACATTCTACTGGAGAGAGACGGTTCACTAAAAAGCAATCAAATTAATAATAACATCAGATAGTAACAAGTGATATAAAAAAGAAAACAAAATATAATAGAAAGTGACTGGGGATGCTACTTTAGCTAGCATAGTCTGGAAAGGCCTGAGAAAACGACCTTTGATCTGAGATCGTTTGATCTGTGTAATCATGCAAAGACTTAGGGAGCTGCGGGTGCAAATGTCTTAAAGTGGGAATGAGCTTGGTGAGTTCAAGGAACATTGCTAGAGCAGGTAGGCCAGGAGGAAATGAGGGGACAGAGATGAGCAGAGGCCAGGTGGTCCTGTTGCACCCTGAGATCTTTTGCGAGGATTTGAATTTTATTCTCAGTGGAACAGAAAGCCCTTGGAAGGCACTCTGGACTGTGTTTTGAATAGTAGTGATGGATCTGCATGACTGCATCACATTCTGTCTTCTGCCCACCTCCTTGAACTTGTGGTCCTTGGTATATACTTCAAAAGTTGCTGACCTGAGCTAGGGATGAAACCTATGGCTATGGAACACAGGAATGCTCTGTGAACCCATGACCCACCTTTCATGGGCAACATTCTGGAAGCAGCTAGACTAGCCCACTGTGGATGACCTGTGACTTGCAGGATTTGCAGACCTGTCACATCCTGTGACTTGCAGATCTTGTTTCTAAACTTGCTTCCTGAAGGATGCAGTACACCTGTGTCTCTGCCTTTGGGTCAATCAAACAAAGCTGTCTCACCATAACTGAGGTCGTTTTCAATATATCTTCCCTCAGACTTCTCAGAGGCATGGCTTCTTCAGATGATTAGGGCTTGGCTCATCTTTCCATTTGTCCTTTAAAGTGTTAAAGGAACAAGACTGTGTCTGGCCACAATCTGACAAATATCTGCTTGGGGTTTGTCCTTTCCTCGGCACCAAGGGGCCACCTCCCTCCCAGCACAGCCGCACACTGGCTCTGGGGTGTTGCCAGCTTCCTTATTCCACACAGTGACATCATCCTCACAAGTAACCTCAGAGTCAGCTCACTGACCAGGCTCCTGTCGCATGCTGATTCAGCCTGTTCTTTATCTTGTTCTAGTTTGAGGGTTTAGCAGTCTTTTGAATGCCCCTTCCTGATTCTGAAAAACAGTAGTTTCAACCATTTATAGAAGGTCTTCTATAAAAGCAGAATTTGCGGCCAGGTTTTGACTGTGGGAGCATACTGAGACCCTTGCTGAGAGGCCAGCAGGGAACACACCAGGATAGGGTGGAGGAACCACCAGATTTCAGCCTTGACCTGTCCCTATAAGGGTGCTGTGTCTAAGAAGGCATGGAACCCAGGCCATTAACATCTAAGGATGTCATCTAGTTGGAGGGTCATGGCTTTGTGTACATGTGTGAGATTTTCAAACACACACAGAAGTAGCTAGACCGGCACAATGAACTCCAAGTGTCTGTCATTCAATTTCAACAACCATTAACTTTCTGCCTTTCTTGTTTCATCTGGCCCACCTCCCCATACACACACTCCATCCCTATGGATCATCTGTGGGTTTGTTCTAGATTCCCTGATAGAGTAACATCACTCGCTTTCTTGCTATTTTCTTCCCTAGTAGGCACTCTCATCTCTCATCTGTTATACCAGTAGAGTCCTCGGGGGGGAATAAACTGTTATTTCAATAAAGATTTCTGAATCGCAACTTCTAAGCTGCAACTTGACTATCCAGCCTTAAGGAATTTTCGGCATCTGAAAGATCCCAGATGGGCTTGTGATCAGAGTACCGGATTTTAGCCATTTTTCCCTCACGCTTTCTTTTTTACTTTGGAGATTTTGATGACTATTTATCTTGAGCGGGAGGTATATAAACTAAAAATATAAGCTTCAATTTGGAGGTTTCACTGTAAATTTCTTTGCAGGCACCAGGAGGATTTCATAGCACATGTGGAGAGGCCAGGTGGTTGGAAGGTGACAAGAACATAGGCTTTGGAGTCAGATAGGGATGGATTAAAATCTTGGCTCTAACAAGTACCAGCTGTATGACCCTAGTCACGTTTCTTAGCCTTTCTGAATATGGTACCCCTCATCTGTAAAACAGAGATAATAATTCCTACCTCACAGAGACCCTGTGAAGATTAAATGAGTTAGATGCGTGGTAGGGACTTCATGTGGTCGGCCTGCAATGTGGTCAGTGGTCAGTGGTCAATATTCAGTGGTCAGAAACTATTGTTGTCCTTTCAATTCTGTAATAGTGACCTTCCAACCATATGGTGGCTGAATCTGGGTTGCTCTTTAGTTTCCCTTTTTGTTTTGAGACGGAATTTCACTCTTGCTGTCCAGGCTGGAGTGCAGTGGCATAATCTCGGCTCACTGCAACCTCCACCTCCCAGGTTCAAGCGATTCTTCTGCCTCAGCCTCCTGAGTAGCTGGGATTACAGGTGCCCGCCACCATGCCTGGCTAATTTTTGTATTTTTAGTAGAGATGGGGTTTCACCATGTTGGTAAGGCTGGTCTCTAACTCCTGACCTTGTGATCCGCCGGCCTTGGCTTCTCAAAGTGCTGGGATTACAGGCGTGACCCACCGCGCCCGGCCTCCTCAGTTGCCTTTATGGGTGTTTTTCCCTAGACACATTTGGACCTGTTACTCACATCTTTCCTCTAACATCTCAAATGTCTTCTGGACAGTTCTGAAGGGTGAAATACTATATGCCAAGGGAAGGGCAGGCTCTGATCACCACAGGGCGATTTGGAAGTATCTTGTGGTGAATTTCCCTGGACCCAGAAAATTCTGCCCTGTTCTTAATAAATTAGGCAGCTGGACTTAAAAAAAATGTCAACAGAGACTTTCTTGCCAAGTCTCATGTTTCTATATTTGACTAAAGTCAGACAAGTTTGAGCAACCAAATGAGGTCTCTAAGCTTAGGCAGAATAAGTGCAGTCATTTTTCTCTGTGTATGTTGCTCTGAGCCAGATCCTGGAGCCAGACTGCCTGGGGTTGAAGCCTGGCTCTTCTCTTTCCTACCTGGGTCACCTTGGGCCATTGTGCCTCCACTTCCCTTTGGTAAAACAGTACCTGTATCAAAGGTTTTGTTGTGAAGAGTTAAAGAAATAAGCAAATGTGAAGCATTCAGAACGGTGCCTGGCACGTAGTAAGCTCTCAGTAGATGTCAGCTGTTGTTATTAATATTACAGAGGTAAAGGGATAAATTCTGTGCTATGGAACATGTCCTAGGTTCAGTCTGCAGTAGCTGAGCAGTGCTAGTAAAGGTCTGTCATTCATTTGACATTTATTCTGCAAATATTTATTCATCTCCTACCATGCCAGGTACTGTTTAAGTTCTGAGGACACAGCAGTGAACCAGAGAGTCAAAAATCACTGCCCAGGGAATGAGTATTGCAGTCGTCTTGTAACCAGTGTACCTGGGCCTTTGCTGTTTAGAACAAGTGCTCTGGGT